GGCGAGGGGGTCGTTCGGGGGGGGCGCGGAAGGGGGGGGGGGGTAGGTGAAGAGAGCGCGTAACGCGGTAGTTCGCTATTATGCTCGCATTATAATCCCATCAGGGGGACTTGTTTGTGCTGCGATAAGGGCCGCGGGCCGCCGAATCTGGAAAAAGGAAAAAGCAAGAGTGTCGGCTGGAAAAAGTGGCGTTAAAGAGGAGAGAGAGAGAGAGAGAGAGAGACGGATTTTACGTCTTTTCACCTCGTCGTCGTCGTCGTCGTCGCCATGTGTTCTCTCTGCTATCTCACTCTCTCTCTCTCTCTCTCTCGCTCTCTCTCTCTCTCTCTGCTCTTTGCTCTCCCTCTCTCCCTCTCCATCATCCCATCTCTTTCTCTCTCTCTCTCTCTCTCTCTCTCTCTCTCTCTCTCTCTCTCTCTCTCTCTCTCTTTCGCTGGCTCGCTCACTCACTCACTCTCTTGGTAGCTGGAGCGATTCCCAGTATTATACCAGGTTGCGCAGTGGAATGCGGGCGTCCTTCGCTCGGGGCCTGGTGAGCAGGAGCGGCGAGTCGAGTCCGAATGAGCACCGCTCTAGTCGGCGTTTCGCGATGGATATTCGTGGGCCCGGCGGGGCTCTTTAATCCGTTTCCGCAATCGCCGGCGCCACGGGAAAGCGAAAATCACGGCGGAGGCGCGCAAAGACCGTGGACCGGCTCCGCTCGTCTTTCCATTTCCACTGCTTACGGTACATCAACTCAATCGCTGGAGCTTGGAATTGGAGCGAAGTCCCATTCGTGGATAAAATGGTACTACAATGGCGCGTACGATGACTCGATACGTAATGGTAGCGAGACGTTTTTTGGCGTTTTCCAACCGAGAAGAAAAGAAATATCGCCGAATTCTCGTGCTGCTTCATTTTACAATAAGTTTTGTGCTGGCGCTGTCATTATGGCCGAAGCGATTGCTATCGCCGACGGACGCTTTAATGTGGAATTTGAAGGGAATTTCTTATACACCGTGAAATTTCTCCGGAAAGCAACTTTTACCGTGCGAGAGGAGAAAATTCATCCGTTTTTAAAAAGTATGCGGCCGCAACGCATATCCGCGTGAAAAATAATACGTTCTGCATAATTCGGTCATTGTCTTGTTAATTGTAACGTTTATGGCATCCATCGACAATACGAGATATATACATGCCGATTGGATTTAATGTTTTGACCAATTAGATTTGATTTAGAAAAATAACGAAAAGTATTTGAGCATTTCGAGTGCAACTTTCTCAATAATTCTTACGAAAACTCGACATAGTCGTTAAATCATTGGAATTGGTGTTTAAGAATTTTCCTCCAATAATGCTCGAGTATTATTTCTAACTCACTACGCTTGGCCAAGGAGGTGATGAAGAAACGAAGAAACGAAGAAACGAAGAAACGAAGAAACGAAGTAACGAAGTAACGAAGTAACGAAGTAACGAAGTAACGAAGAAACGAAGAAACATAGGGAGGAGACTATTCCATTAGTCATTATGCGCTTCCCTGCTCCGAACGTTAATTATATTTCTCGATCAATCCTACTTTCACGAAAAAATAATAAAGAAAGGAAATAAATATTGGAAAGAAAGATAGGAGAGAAAGGTGGGAAGAAGGGCGGGAGCGGGTGTGGTGGGACGAGGGAAAGGAATTACAGAAGACGCGTGGAGGGAAAAATGAATCTGTTAAAGACGCAAATCGCCTTGAATTTATACGGAGAATGTGGGGGGATATATGGAGGAGGGAGTAGCGCCCGTTAAGAATTCGATAATAAGGAATTTGAGGAATCGCCTGCTTTAAGAGGAGTTGTCCAGCGGCTGGTTTTTACAAAGCCGTGGGCGCGCGTGGGTGTATGCGCGTGTGGCTGTGGCGTTGGTAGGGGAGGGCGGTAGGGGGAACGAGCGACTCGTTAAAGAGCGAGATATCGGAATGCTGATAATGCTGATTGATGTGCTGCTTTATGTTGGTTGCAGTGAGGACGCTGGGCGTATCGGCGACGAAATGAAGCATGCAGCATGCGTGGTAGCAGTGTCACGGCTGCGCGGTCCTGCCTTCAACCCCTGGTTTCCGCCAGCCGCTACCTCGCCGTACACGCTCTGCCCGGTGATCCTCTCTACTTTGTTGTTGACGTGAGTATAACTATTAAGCTACTCTGATCTATCACTTTGCTACTGCAGTTTCGGATTGTGAATGAATGGGTGGGCTGAGGGGGGCTGAGGGTGGCTGTGGGACGATAGATGGGATTGTGGGGCGGGGGGGGGGTGTCATCATACGGCCAAACTAGGCCTACGCGTTTCCTATCCTCCTATCGCGGGCTTTATTCAATCGAGATTTGCCTCTTCGCGTGCCAATCCGACGCTTATTTATGCTTCTCTAATTTACGGGGCCGGCACTTTTTCCCTACCTGCAATTACGCATTTTATTAATGCGATTACCTGGCAAAAAGCTAATTGGATTATGACCCGTGATGTGTAATTTTATGATGTAGGACAGTATTGCCGTGGCGTGATTAATGGTCGTGCATTTTAGAGCACGTTGATTGCGTCGACTGGCTTCGGTGTCTTTCTATTGACTGTTTTGACTTATATGAAAGTGAAACTTTTCGTATTATTTTTGGAAAAAAAAAAAAAAAAAAAAAAAAAAAAATAAGAAAAAGTTCCTTAACATAAGTTAATCTTCTCGTGGTACTGTAAAATGGCTCACTCCCACGCTCGTTTGTCCATATTATCGATAATATTCAGTAATGGTTTCTTCACTTCTAAGGAATTTCACGCCTACGTAAATTTTCTCGAACCCTCTTTCGCGCATTGATTAATATGGGATCAGATTAGGTGAAGTCGCTAACAACTCGATTCGCTGCTATTTAATGCAAAGTAGGCAAATGTTGTATACTCTTTAATTTATCGCGTACGGCAATAAATTTATTATTCTCAAAGTGCATAGAAAATCAATCGGATATTTTTAATAAGACTAAAGCAGTATTGTATTGTATTGTTACGAACTGTTGCAATTCCAATTGCTTTCTTCAAATTATTTCTTAACAAGTAAATAGCTTATCGGTCATTATTTTATTAACATAAAACAATTGCAATAAGCAATATTCGAGCACTCGTTTCGTTTTTCGTAAACTATCGGCTTTGTGGTGGGGGCTATGGCAGGTAAATTTTATTATTATTGAAGGAAGAGTTTGGATCCCAAGTTCGGAAATTTATTCACAATTGACAACTCTTATTATTACAATGATTTATTACAATTAATTGACAAATTATATAAATATATATATATATATATATATATATATATAAAGCGTGAAAATCTCGTGAAAGGGAATGGGAGAGGAAGAAATTGAAAAATTATTGACTTTATAGATTTTCCGCTCGTATTATTACCGTGTCATTTGTCTTAAGTATTATATCAGATATTCTGAAAATGTAATTGTTATATGTGTGATCAGTTAAAAGCTTCTATCGTTTTCTATTAAGCCGTTTCATACTATATTATTATATATTCTATTATATTAAATAAATATTGTATTTAAAATAAATAATACAGCAATAATACTGCAATAATATTAGCCAACATAAAACACTTAAAGAACATGCACACAAAGTACTGTTATTATTATTGCATTGTTATTGTCGAATATAATTTTTCACGTATAATAGCGGGCATAATTTATTCGTTTATTATTATTATCAAAGCCTCGTAAAAAAATATTGGAATATAATTTTATTGACAAATTTGTTAATCAATATTTTCTCCTATGCTAAGAAACTGTATTCTATAATAAAGTCATTGAAAATTTGATAAAGGAACGTTAACGAATATAATACTTTGGTATCTTTATATATAAAAGCACCAAAAGTATTAATACTTATGGATCGTATACTTGCGCGATTGGCATAATCAGCATTATCTCGGTTAACGTGTCAATAAGTTTTTGTACTTACTTCGTAGAAAACTTGAAACGTTTCGTAGTCTATTTTATAGACAATTTAAGACACCTACGGAAGCATTGATATAACGAAAGCCGCAATGCGCTAATAGTATTCCTCTAGTCCACCGATGATTAGAAAGTCTTGAATAATTATTACGAGCTCCGATCTCATAAAATTCTCCATGAATTCTAGCTTCGTTAGTCTATTGGCGATCATTTTACACTTTATTCAACAACGCCAAGAGATACCGAGTGATGTAATAACTGCCCGATAGTGCTTGAAGTTAATAATATAAAATTAAATAATCGTTCGATCAAATAATGAATTGAAAAATATTTATTTACCATGTATACTTATTTGCATCGCGTAAGTAAATTCTTAATATCAAATTGAACGTCTAGACTCTTAACATCAATGCATCACACAATTATCCATGCTAATCGGTGGCTTTTATTTATATATTTATTTATTTATTTTTACTTATTTATTTTTTTTTTCACCACAATCGGCATAAATAATTTTTTTTTAATTCTCCGAATGTTCAAGAATATGAATGGCTCTATCTGTATTTCCGTGCGGCGTATTCTTCATTATTAAAATCCAGTTTCTCTCGTATTTTCAATTGAAATCCAATGCTTTTCACATCTCCGATAATTTTCCTTTATTTCTTATTTGCGCATTGTACGTATAAACTGAATTTTTACCGAATCACTAAATCTTATATCTACATCATCTACATCATCTACATTATTGCAAATTTATAGTTTATTCTGATTTTAATTCTTTCTCAAAATACTTACACAGTGTGTTTTCAACGCTTTTGAAAATGTACATTATTTAGTAAATCAAATGGCACATATTATGCATCGAAGTTAGTTTAGTGATTCAGTCGATTAATATACTAAAAATTTATTCCAATCGGTTTCTTTTGTCCGACTTGGATGAAAGGCTCTTTTAAGAGTTCGCGCACAATGATAAGAATGTATAATCCAACATCTCCTAACTTAAGACATTAGAATGTACTGATAAACTATCGACTAAAAATTATAATACAGGGACATATAATGTGATATATAATACGTATAATGGCCTAACTAATTGGTGCGGATAGCCTGATCTGTCAATTTCGTTGACCTTTGAAGGTTCCACTGTAACTCCAAGTTTATTTATTATCCCATAAGAATGTTATATAGTCATCGTCGATTCAGGAAAATTGTTATGCAATGCATTGGGATCGTATTTATAGTTTCCTTTCATGTTTATGTGATGATATTTCATTGTGGAAACTTCCTACAATAGATAATATATAGCTTATATTATAAATGACAGCATATGGATAGTGAGCATTGGAATTATGATAATTGATTTAAAGATTTAACGGTTATGAGTTCCTTGATAATAAAATTAATACTACAAAATCTGTTGGACTTTTGGGAATGAAAATTTTAGCATTTTCTTTCACGTACTACATTATGCTTGAATCGATGCTTAAATAATATTAAGCATTAATTTATCTTAATAATAGCTTAAATAATATTATTTATTTCAAGCTTTTTATACAATTGTATGAGCGCCATTTGGTAATGGGATATATTGAAATTAGTTAAAAATTGAAAGCAATTAAGAATCCGTGTGATAGTCGCTTGGACCAATGAAATTTCCCTCAATATTCCCTCAATATTCCCTCAATATTTCGTCAGTTCGTTTAAAAATTCAGCCACTTGAGCCATATTTATTCGACATTCATAGAAAATTCAGAAACCCTCGACCCAATCTCTCCATCGTCGTAATAGATCTTTCCATCGTTGCACGATTGATAAGAAGAGGAATAATGTGCACGGCCTAATTAGCATACAGTTAAACAGAGACTTACGTCCGAAAATTGCATGAAACTATCACTTATTCATGAAATTGAATAATATTGCTTTTACACGCGAAGGAGGCAGTTGTTTATACGTGTTAGTGCGTACGTGTATCGATGTATGGTCGAGAGCGAGCCTCTGGTATGTAGTACGCTTTCACCGTCTGCAATATTCATATGCTCGTTGCGAATATTCATATACTGCATACATTCACGTGTAATGATTGTCACGTACGTACGTAGTACAATGCTTCGTACGTTTTCAGCGACGACGTCCGCAAATAAACAATACTACTTTGCTTTCTATTCTCGATAATTTCAGTTTTATCAGCTTGATTTTTGCTCCAAACATTAATGATCATTCCCTCGGGAAATAATCGTAGCTCGAGATGAAATTTGCAAAATAAAGTTTGATAATAATGCGGGAATGTACATTCCGGCTATTTATTTCGTCCTCCGCTCTTTATGTATCAAGTGTCCAAGCAAACAACAGTGGGCGTGAAGTTATGGAGTATCGTAACACCTTCATTAATTCTGTTTAAGACTTAAAGTTAACTACGTGAAACTATTATTAATTATCCCACGATGAATGTACTTATTTATTATTACAGTATTGTATTATTATAGTATTTTAATCAATTTTTCATTATGAAATGTATGGCAATTACGTGTGTGATTATGTATGTACAACGATTTTTTGTTTTTAACTTTCAGGTGTTTCAGTAACATTTGTAGTTTTATTGAACAGAACTGGTGAATTTCGATAATCAATTTTTTTCGTACTCGTGCCTTTCATAAGCTTGCCTAATTACAATAAAAGAGAAAAATTCAAGTTATCTCTCATTAAAAGCGTTGAATTATGAATGATATCAGTAGGTATTTCACAATTTCTAGCCAATGTACTTGAAAATCTATAGGCAAAGTATCGCCAGCAATAGCAATGTATTTTACATACATAAAAATTTTAATTTGATTACATTAAGTCGTTCTCATTTAATGTTTTCCGAATTGATAATAATACGCTATGTAAGTAAACATGTCATGCACATATTTTTACATTATTCAACATATTTCAAATATGTTTTTGTTATCGCTACCGTAGCTTATATATGAATTTCAATTTAATCTAAGATCATGATAATTTTCGTTAATCTAGAAAAATATAAATATAAAATTATCGATAGGAATACAAATTATTTGTAAATTTTGATAAGAGATTTTACTCCTGTACAGTATTTATATTTTGATTCTGAAAATTTTTTTTTTAGCGTTTGATAATAGCCGTTGATTCGTTCTATGATATTTATAACGTAAAATTTGATAACACATACTTTGTTTCATTAAACAAACTCTTTGTAAAATTTCTTTTTCGTTATATGATATATCTGCGATGGTTTTTTAACATAAATGGGAGCGATTTTTCTTCGAAAATCAGTAATGTCATTTCTGTTAATGTTATTCTTCCGAAGATTAAACAAAATAATAAATCATGCGAATGCAATAGCATTTAATCGAATTATAATTGCTTTATATTAAGAAAACACAATCGCCACTTTTATATACTAATAACTAATGCCTCAAAGATTATTGTATTTATATTTATTACATATAAAATTGTAAACATGAATGCACTTTTATAAATAAGAAATGCACATTAAGTTTAATGGCCTCGTTAAAATGATAGACGAGTAGAGGAGTCTATAATAATTAAAAGTGACTTTGAAATTCTTTTTGACGTTAATAATAACGTGGCACTAATGTTTATGAAAATGGCCAGCATACAGCGACAGCTGTACAGACACGCACACACGCGCGCGCGCGTATATTCTTAGAAAGATGAATTGACTGAAATCAATATTGCATGCCGATAAATAATATTATTTATAGGAAATTAATTTGTTACAGACCAAATCGAAGGTAAAGGAGGTCTATGCGCAGACATGCCAGCTTCTTGGTCAACAGGGGATGCAAGATTGCGAACTCTTTGGTCTGGCAATTCTGTCCGGTACGTTTGTCTTTCTTTTCTTTTTTTTATGTTTTTCTTTCTCTCTCTCTCTCTCTCTCTCTCTCTCTCTTACTCTTATCGATATTTGCATCGATATACGTGTCTCTATCTAAACCGTCGACTAAATGTAAGGATTATTCGCCATTCATGATTACTTACAATGATAAGTGATATCGAGCCGGTAATAATGAAAATAATAGCCTGATTAATTTCCCTATAGAATTTAAATAAATTCTTAAGCTTATTACAATTACATAGCCTGCATTTATAGTTGCTTTGCACAGGCAATATTCTTAAGAATGCAATGGTTATAGTAATTATGAGTATAATCAGAATACATTTTACTATTCATCTTCATTGTGTAACGATAGACGTTTATATTATTTACGATGTCTGTATTATGTCGAACAGTGGCAATTCAAAATGCCTTTTAATATCGAAGAATATCGTAGAAAGGGGGACAGATTTTTTTTTTCGTGATACAACCACATTTAATCAATATGCGAAGCATATATTATACTTGTTATTGATACCAATTACAGTATTAGCAACTATGAATGAATGAAAACGGAAATATCATTGTTAATATTGAGTATCGAGTGGCATGGAATATATATAATTAACTTAATTATTGCTCGCTCAATAATTATTTTTGGTTCAGTATTTACGTGGCACGTTTGAACCAATTATTATTTGTTCTCGCGTTGTTTGATCGAGCCTGAATTTAAATTTTATATTCAATTTCAAACAATATCAGAAGCGCTGCCGCATTTAAAATAAGAATCATATTTAACGTATAACTTTAAGCATTTGCGCACAAAACAATCTGCTACGAGATTATTAATTTACAATTGTCACTTTACATTATCAATCAATTAATGTATTTATCATGTTAATGGATTTTTCTATTCCGTTAAGTCATTTATTACATTTCTCACTCTAGATACTTTTTTTTTTGTTTTTTTTTTTTTTTTTTTTTTTTTTTTTTTTTTTGTAAATTCAATGTATATTAAGAAAAAGTTTTTTTTTTTGTTTGTTTTTTTTGTATGTACACGAACAAACATAAATATCTAACTTTGATATGTTTTACTTTCTGACATCAGTGTGTCACTCAAAATTGAAACATTAACATTAAAACTTTTGCAGTATTAATAATTAGCTGTTTGCGTCTGTGACTTTTCGTTGATGAGTTGGTTTTGTTAAAGTGACGAATAAATTGTCGAAGACCGCAAGCAGTAGTATATTTAATAACGATTTGCCCGAAAATAAATCATTAAAAAGTGCAGATATACATTTAAATTTTAAAGCGAGTATAAAAAAATTTCCTTCTCTGTAAAATGTTCTTGCAGCGAGAAAGATAATTCTTAAATATGCCGTTTGAAAGAAATATATCCGCAGTTACAAAGTTGGTGGATTTTCAGTCTTCTCAAATATAATTCCATTTTAGTAGGAAGTAACGAGTGTTAATTTAAAAAAAAAACATCCCATATATTCCGAAGCTAATATATTACGCCACATATGCATACATGGAATTTTGCAATTAGAAAAATTAAAAAATTGTAGCTAACGCAGCAACAATTGCATTTTATAGCGACTCTAGAATATCGGAGAATTAGCTTAGCGTTGTATGTCGTCGTCACGGCCGCCGCCGCCGCCGCCGCCGCCGCTCCTGGATAGATTACCTCGCCGGGTACATATAATAAAGATAACGATAGATAAGGACGATGCTTAAATTATTTTCCTCATTATTAAGCGCTTGAATAAATTGCAATGATTTGCAATAGTTTCCCTAGGCCCAAATCTCGAACTAAACCCCAAAAACGACAATCCACAAAGAGGTATCTTCTCCCTTACGCTCGTCACCATAAGCAATGAAACATTGCATCGCATCCCTTATTATATCTATTGCTGTATTAGCTATTGCTTAATGCGTTTATTATAAAAACAAAAAAACAAAAAACAAAAATCAAAAAACAAAAAACAAAAACAAATAACAAAGTAAACAATAAAAAAAAAATGAATGAAACAACAACGACAACGACAATAAGAATCGTAATTGTCAATCATGGCAAATGTTTTTTTATCTACTCGAAAGTTTTAAATTCGCCACTGGTCTGCAATAATTTGCGGATAACTCATAGAGGGATATACTTTAGTGCTTTATGCAAATGAAAGTCTCGTTTTAATGATCGAATTTTTCCTTTACAGTCGGCCATGATTTATTAGTTTTCTAAAAATAAAATAAGGCCTGCCGAGAGCGAGCCGCTACAGCAAAAGCAGCACCGGTAAAATATTTATTTCCGTATCTTTCCGTATTCGCAGTCTGTAATTAAAAGCAAAAGTAAAAAATACCCTCGGCTGATAGACGCTCGGGTCCGCGCCTCCTTCGACGGGCCTCACCTCCTCGGTACATAACGCACAATCGATCGGCCGTGCGATTAGCCGCGATTAGCCGGGATTACGCGGCGAGACCAGAGCGACTAAGGGTGCAAAATTGAAAAATTCGATTGGATCCGAGGTGAGCGCGTATATGGCGGGGTGCCTCGGGTGTTCCCGGACGGAGTTTGCAATCGTCCGTTCGGTCTCTCGCTCGTCTCGGCTTGACTCGGCTCTCCTCGGCTCGATTCAGCTCGGATCCGTTTCCCTCTGCTCGGTTCTGCTCGACTCGACTCGGCTCGGCTCGGCTCCAGCTTAGTCCAGCCCAGCCCAGTCCAGCCCAGCGCAGCCGGGTCACCTCGACTCTGCTCAGCTCGGCTCAGCGCTCGGCTCAGCGCTCAGCTCAGTGTAGCTCGACTCGGGTCGATTCGGCTTCGCTTCGCTTCGCTTCGATCGTACTCTTACTCGCGAACGGCGGTGAGCCGTCCACCAGCCGGTCCGACGAGTCCTCTCCTCCTCCTCCACCTCCTCCTCACCGTCCTCCATCTCTTAAACATCCCTCCTCCCCCTCCCACATCCAATCTACCCCCGTCCCGCCTTCGCCGCCACCTTTCATCCGCCCCGCCCCCTCTAGCCCCTGTACCGCGCTGCACCCTCGGGGCCCGCGCCCCCACGTCCGCCGCCGCCCGGCGTGCATTCCACGGGGCCCATCTCCGCGAGAGCACGCGCTCGCCAAAAAAATGCTCCTGAAAAACCAGAACAAGTACAAAAAGATCGGTCGGAGTGCGCTCAGCGCACGCTTTCGGCTCAAAGGGAGAAAGAGAGGTGGGTGGGGTTGGATTCGGGAAGGGGAGCGAAAAGGGGCGAGAGAAAGAGAGAGAGAGAGAGAGAGAGAAATAAAGAGAGTGAAGAAGGGGAGGGAGCAGCCGCGGAGAGCCGCACACGCACGCGCACGCGCACACGGATGTGTGACCTTCCCTCTGCCCTTGCCCCTCCAATGCTCACTCGTTCACTTAGTCTCTCTCCCTCTCTCTCTCTCTCTCTCTCTCTCTCTCTCTCTCTCTCTCTCTCTCTCTATCTATCTATCTATCTATCTATCTATCTCGTTGAGCGTAAGCTAACGGAAAGCCAGCCCGCAGAGAAGAGATTCTTTCCGTGTCTGTCGGCCTATCTCTCTCTTCCTCTCTCTCTCTCTCTCTCTCTCTCTCTCTCTCTCTCTCTCTCTCTATGTCTCTCGGTGGAAGAGCAATATCAGCGGATGGACAGCAGCTCCAATTTTTTAATTATTCGCCCGCGCGTGACACGAGGCTCGACGAGAAGTAGCGAGGCTTAGCGGCGTCGATTTCGTAATCGGACCGTTTGCTCTTATAAATAAGTGGCCCTTGGGTTTCTTAGATTCCAGCAACCCTGGGGACTGTTAACGCGACATGGCAGACGTCGGGACGGATCATAGGAAGCTCGTCACCTCCAGCGAGCAAAAGATATTTTTGATGGACGCACGGGATTCCGGGTTTCTTGGCTCGACACATCAAATGGTGCGGACACTCCGCAATTTCCTGAGGGGTCCTGCGTGCGATTATGTCGAGGCCCTGTGGAATGCGCGGGCTTGGTGGGCTCGACTCTCTCGGCTCGTTTACCCAGCAGACTGGCGATCCTCCGGCCCTCTCTACCTCTCACTTCCTCTCACTCTCTCTCGCGTTCTCTCACTCTTTCGCTCTCTCTCTCTCTCTCTCTCTCTCTCTCTCTCGCTCTGCCATCGCCCCACTATCGTTCGCTCCCACCCCCTCCGATCGGCCGTGCGCGCGCAGCAGCGTAACACGGTAGTTCGGTCATTTGTATAAGGCCCCTGGAAAGCTGGGCCTTGCCGCCGCCACCGCCGCCACTCGCTCGCTTTGCCCTATGCTACATTGGAATGTGGCTCGAAATCGAGCGAGCAGCTAAAACGCCAAGCACCAAAACCCAACGCTTTTTTCTGCTCGTACTTTCTTGCTCTCTCTTTCTCTCTCATTCTCTCTCCATCGCCCCGAGTCTATTCCTCTATATCTTTTTCTTCCCCTGTCTACTCCTCCTCTCTCTTTTACAAGACAATAAAAGCCCAAGCCCAAACAAAACTCGTTGAAATTTCTATATGCTTAGTCGAATCGAAGCATGGTTATATATAAATAAATAAAGTTACATATAAATAAATGAAAGTGCACGTATATACGCATGTATGTGGGCTCACGAAAAGTATTATTATTATAAATTGGTTTCTGAATTATGTGATTCAATGGATAGGATATTTTGCTTTGGGGCGAGAAAATAGATCGACGACCGAGTTGCAGAGAGAGAGAGAGAGAGAGAGAGAGAGAGAGAGAGAGAGAACGACCGGAATGGGGGGAGCGGTAGAGGATGGCTGAGTTAGAGGGCGAGAAGGGCGGGAGAGCGGATTTGTGTTTATAAGTTGGGCGAAGCGCGCGCGCAAAGCTGGAGGGAGAGGAGCCGAAGAGAAGAAGGCCCGAAGCTCGAGAGGCCCCGGAGCAGCAGCATTCCCCGATAATGGCCGAGTTATATTCGCCCGGGTAACACAGGTGCCTCTTTTTCCCCTTCGCTTCTCCTCGCGTCGGCCGCACGTCTACCATCGCCGCGCCGATTCTCTTCCTTTTGCCCCGCGCGCCATGCAACACTGCGCGCGTGTGCGCGCGTACGTGCGTGCGTGCTCTTACATCCGCGCGTGTACGCACACGTGCAATAAGGCTCATACACACGCAACGGCTAATTATTTTCTTGCACTTCGCAGCTATTACTCGTTTTTATTTTTTTCCCTTTCTTACTTTTATTGTCATTGCCGTCTTCGTAGTCCTCCTCGTAGTTCTCCTCGTAGTCGCCTTCGTCATAGTCCTCCTCGTAGTCGTCGTCGTCGTCGTCGTCGTCATCGTCGTCGTCGTCGACGCTGTTGTAATTATACTTATTACTCTTATATCTATCGAATGATCTTTATTTCTTCCTTCTTAACAAACGATTTATGAAAAGATAATGCTTTTATTAATATTAATCGGCCATTATGCTTGTTTATTTTTTGCAGACGGAGAGTATTTGTTTGTGGACCCGGAGAGTAAGCTAAGCAAATACGCACCCAAGAATTGGAGAAGTTCTCACACCTACGTAAGTGTACCGCACGAGTTTTGCTGTCACGTCGATAAGTTTAAGTAAACGGGAGTCGGCGTCTCGAGAGTTACGCTCGCGGAGCTCCGTAAATGTTCCAGATTTGAAAATCAAGCCTTGGAATTCCTTCTTCTCCTACGATCCTCTGACTTCTTAAACATCATTACCCTTAATTTGCTAGCATTCCTGAGATACGCAAGCTGGTAGAGTGGTAGCAATGAGTAGGAAAAAAAAAGGAAAAAAAAAGAAGATTTTTAAGCCTCTGCTCCCAAACGATCTTTTTTCAAACAAGAAGACAAAATTATTTATATTTTATCATTAATTATTCTTTCCCTTCTCTTTTAGCAACACATAATTATCCTTTATTTTTTGCGGGAAGAAAGATATTTCTTCGTATCATGAATTTTAATAAAATTTTTGGAGATTCAAATTCTTCGGAGAAAATGGCGAAATGAATAACCTATAGTTAGGTGGGCTAGGTTTTTTTAAATTTTTTTAGACCTTTTTTTAAATTGCAACTACTTTATTTATTTTTCTTCTTCATTCAATTTTTTTTATTTCTCTCTCTCTCTCTTTCTCTCTCTCTCTCTCTCTCTCTCTGTCCCTCTTCCATTTTTCTTTTTCTTTTTATTTTATTTTATTTATTTATTTTTAATATACAATGATTTTTAATCAAGAGTATGAAAAATAGTTGATTTTTAAAGCTAAATGTTTTATGTTAAAGCTTAAAGAAGACGATTAAATCTTCAAATTATTAAAAGTTCGTTACATTGAATTATAAATGACATCAAATTTGATCGAATATTATGCATTTAATTCGAGTCAACCATAAATGTTTCGTATTTTTTGTTTTGTCGTAAAAAAAAAATGGCGATTATAATTCGTGCTTGGGAGATATAATTTATCTTGTTAGTAAAAATTCAGCGTTGATCAACTTTTTGCAGCGATACTTCGATTAGAGAAGGATAAAAAGTTGTGATTTGGTGAGTGGTTTAGATTTACCTTCTTTTGTAACAGAGTATAAACACGCATTCATTACCATAAGATCCCCAAAGCTGAACGGATTCGAGAATTGATTTATAAATGCAGGATAAAAGTAATTGTATATTATCGGGGAGTACGTCCTCGGAAAAAAGGTATCCCGCGACTTATCCCAGAATCTCATAAAAGGGTTATAGAATTACAAAATGGTTTTCTATTACACGTGTACGAGTCTTATAACTCGGTGGAGTCAGAAATGTCCGCTCGCTTTGGAGGATTTCGATGATGTACGCACTGCTACTCGTCCAGGTTCTTTTCTCTCTCTCTCTCTCTCTCTCTCTCTCTCTCGCTCTCTCTCTCTCTCTTTCTCCCTCTCTCTCTCCCTCTCTCTACCTTCCATTCTTTCTCTCTTTCTCTCTATCTATCTATCTATCTAACTATTTATCTACCTACCTATCACTCTCTCTCTCTCTCTCTCTCTCTCTCTATATATATATATATATATATATATATAGCCATCTTCCTCTTTCTCGTAGCAGCGCGTGAGCCTCGGTCTCTGAGTTTTTGATTGGCGAGAATCAACAAGGATCTGCGCGCTGCTGCAGATGAAGAAAAAAACGAGCAGAGGCACAGCGTACACATATACGAACGCGCGCGCGCGCGGGCACGCACACATGATCATACGAACGCACGCAAGGGTTCATGCAAAAGGTTCTGGCAGGCTTCATTAATATTTATGCTTCGTAGAACACGATCTCGTATGCCGCGAATAATCTCCTAATTTGCCACTGCAAATCATCAAAGACTTCAATTTCATTCTGGACCCTCTCGAAGTCCCCGCTACGGCGACCTTTCTAATTATTATAAAAACATAGCCGCCTATTGAGAACCCCTTAAGCTCGCGATGATTTAAGCACGCGAATCGACGAAAAGATATTTCCAAATGGAAATGCTCTTTATTTATAACTTTATTTGTAGCTGATTTACAACGAAAAGCAATCGGCGCGAGCGCGCGCGCATTTCCAACGAATAACTGTACCATATAGTCTAGACCTTCGAAAGCAGAGAGAACACTCGGAGGAACGTATGTTTGGTTGAAAAATTTCAAATATTCAAATAAAAATACTTGTAAATTACTCAGGGGAATGGGTATATTTAAGATTTAAAATGAGAGGGCGCATTTAATGGCATGTTTAGCTCAAATTGAAACGTCGAGAGTTTGCACCAATAAATTCCACGGCTATATTCTCCGGGCTGAAAATGAAGGAATATGAAGTTTTAATAGAGCCATGCTAACTCGATGGATTCTGTGAAACATCGCAATACGGTCGGAAATAACAAAAAATGGCGCTTCTTTTATCTTAGAATTGATTTTCATTGTAGCATCCCCCTGTGGAATAGTATTGGTATTATTGGTACTTAAATAATCCATTATGTCAGAACTGCACGGGTATATAGCTCAATCAATTGCCTCTTTCCTCTTCTTAACTTTTCTTCTTTTACTTTATTTCTTCTTTGTTCTTTTTACGTCAGCCGTTCCTAAGATTATTTTTTATGGCTCGAGCATATCCTGCGCTCTGGAATGTGAAGAGTCATCATAATTTCCTGAGCCCTCTGCCTACCTAAACATACGAATAATTAAACGATTTTCATTCATAAAGATTAATTAAATTTGCCATCATCCAGCTGGATTAGATTGATTAGAATGTACGGCGTACGAAGGGATTTTGAGCACAGCCTAAGAGTTAAACAACTCACTCGATACTTGTCCAAGTTATAGTACAAAATATTGAAAAATTTTTTGAGTTACGTGTATTTGTATATGGAGAGCGAATGAAAAGTTCATATTAATTGCTAATCGTAGTAAATTAGCAATTCCTTAGATATTGTCATATTATTTCTAAAGCTGAAAATTCCTTTGTTCTCTGTATGGGCAATGCAAAAACTTTGCATTATTTAACGTCATTTTTGTCATTTTTGTCGATAAGATTTTTAAGTTTGTAAACAAAAAGTCGCATCCTGTTTAAATTGCATTATTTATTGCATTCGGATTTGCGTTGAGAGTGATATGTCATTAATTATTAGATTATCAGAGCAGTTATTTACATTATCTTTGTCTCAAAGCTCTCATTTATTTTTAATTTTCCACTCGTTCTTTTATGTTATATTCATTCATCTGTGTAAATTATGCTAACGCGCAGTGGAATAAATCGTGGAATAATAAAATAAAATTGCTTGAAAAAAAAAAAAAAAAAAAAATATAAAAAACTTTAGGCTGCTCTTCTGGCAAAATGAAACAATAATAATCATGAGCATTTCAACACTGACAATTCAATTAATAATGAAAAGAAGAAGAAGAAAAAAATTAATCGATTCTTGTAGACATTTGAATTGAACGTACGAACGTTATTATTTATATGACCAAAGAATGATGGAAGCGGACATGTAAATGTAGTTGAAACGAATTATAATCGAAACTATAATACGCATTCTCTCTCTCTTTTTCTTTTTTCTTTTTTCTTTTTTTTTTTTTTTTTTTTTTTTTTTTGTTACTATTTATTTATTTGTTTATTTATTTATTGATTTTTTTCACAACTCTTATAATATTTATACGACTAGGTTACAATATAGATTCGTTTGTAGTCAAAAGTAAGTATACGAGTGTAAACGGCATGACATATCGAACGGTTTTATTCGATTGTCATTGTCAGCTATTCGTCATTGCAAATTTAATTGCACATCGCGGCCAAACCAACGCAGAACTCTAAATTATTGATAAAAAAAATTAGTTTATTGAGATATTTCATATGTCCGAATGGCGAGAGTATTCAAATGCTAATAATAGAGGCGGAATTTCATGTCAGTGGATCAGGGATTTTGCAATTACAATTTAGCATCAACGGTAGAATTTTTATGTGCTCCATAATGTTGAATTTGACACGAAATCTTTACGACTTAAGAGTAAAAAATATTAAAATTAAAATGCACGTCTATCCTTTCCTTATAAATTATTTAAAGCGTGCAAAGCTTAGGGAAGTAGGCCTCGTAATTTGGAGCACGATAAATGGTCTTTTGACCAACCGTCAACTATATAGATCCGACTCAGTATAGATCAATCTGGACTAAAACTTCTAGGCTAACGCATAGCGCAGCAGCCACCTCGTGACGATTCACAATTCAACATTTGAATTCGTCGACTACATTCCCAATCCTTGCTTTATTAAACTCCATGTGTTAAAAGAAAAACAAAAAAACAAAAAAACAAAAAAAAAAACAAAAAATACCGTGTGAATGAACCGTTAAAATTCCATTTACCAGGGCTTGGACAGCAGTGGACGGCCGGCGTTCGTTCTGTACTTTCGTGTCCGATATTACGTGGATACACCACTACTGCTGAGGTGAGCGTCCAATCTTTGCCCTTGTCCATCCGCCCATTCTTACACGCACCCAAAAGTAAATTAAGACCCTGATTTTTGTCGTTGACGATAGCGATGAGACAACGAGGCACCACTACTACCTGCAGTTGCGCGACAACGTCGTTCGCCATGGAGGCGGCGTCGAGAGCTGGCAGGGCCAGAAGTCCCAGCATCCCCTGCAGTCGGGTAGTGTCTATGGGCCGCTGCTCAGCCTCGCCGGACTGGCCTTGCAGGCGGACCTCGGCAATTATACGGAGGAGCGCCATCGTCGACAGGGATACTGCAAGCCCTCCGATTACCTTCCTGCCCACGTGAGTGCGCACGCGCCTCTCTTAATCCACCGCTCGGGTGGCAACGATTACTTAACAAATCTCTTACGTCTAAAATGAGATTGTAATGTTACGAGCCGTGGAAAGGATTTTTCACCACGCGGAAAGTGAAAGTGGAAAGTCTAGGCTTGGATTACAAGTCGCCCGTACCTACAGCCCGTACGAACTATTATAATGCTTTCGAATTCCGAATTAATGTTTACTATAAAATTGATTATCATCAATTACGATATTACGTAAATAAAAATCTGCATCGACGCGCCTGCGTCTTGCAATTATTATATAAATAATTAATCTTGTGATGAAACAAACTCTTAATTTCGAAGGAGCACATAGACGCACACGCGCCTCCTTATATCATCGCTCGAATAATTTAATCGCCCCAAACGCGTTACGAAACTGTTTGTTATCTTAGCAAGAGGGCATTAGCAAGTGATTCGTAACGCCCAGTTCCCGTGATTCCAGGATTTAAAACTTGACGTGCGCGGACAAACTATCCTCCTCCCAATCTCTCTTCCCCACTCGTCCGCAAAAATAATGCGATCGCATCGGTGCGCTGAATGAATTTTGAATGAACTTTCGAATGAATTTCGAATGAGTTTTGAATGAATTTTGAATGAATTTTGAGTGATGAATCGAGTAGCCTTCTTATCAGTCTTATTTTTAAATGAAAATCCACCCATATCAATTACATGCTTAAGCATTTTTAAGTACGACCCTTAGCTAATTAAGTACCCTAATAATATTGTCTACTATTAACGCGCAGATGTGCCACGAGGAGAACGCACTGTCCGTCCTCGCGGCTCAGCACCGAGACAATCGGGGACTGTCCCGTGAGGAGGCTGAGCTGTCGTACATCAGGGAGGCGGTGCTCCTGGAGGCGCCGCTCAACGCTCACCTCTATCGGTTGCGACGCAGCAAGAGCGAGCAGGGCCCCGGGCGCGTCTTGCTGGCGATATGTGCCCGCGGCGTCCGGGTCTACGGCGACGAGGAGACACCCCAAGTCTTCACTTGGAACAATATTGGCAAACTCGGCTTCGACGTCCGTATACCTTATTTACAATATCTTAAGCTCCGGCCATTCGAGCTACGCTCCGCATTATTCGACATCGCTCGACCACTTTTGACACTTCGTTCGAGTGGTCCAGCGCCCGCGTCATCGCTCCTCCGCCCCACCACCAACCCACGTTCCACGATTAAAGAGGCAGGGAAGAGTGGTCGAGCCATAAGAATCTCGCGGAGGCATTTGCACGATGCTGGGAAAGACGCGTAGGGCAGCGCGATAACCGTTCGACGCAATTGCAGCGCAAGAAATTCGAGATTCGCGCGGTCGACCAGCCGGGGAAGCTCACATTGTTCAGTGGCTGCGACGACAAGAGCAAACTCCTGTTGGCGCTATGTCGAGACACCCACCAGTTCTTCATGGCCATAGCGCCGCGCGTCAGCGAGGCCAAGCGGCGCGAGGAAGAGGGTGAGTCCATACATATATATATATATATATATATATATATTTCAATGATTGCCGCAGGTATCTATTGTATGTAGACTCGCCCAATTTTGCTCTCGCGCACCCTAGGGATAACGAATCCCTCATCAGCGGGTTCGAGCTTGAGCGGGAATGGTGTTGCCGTTGCCGGCTGATGATTAATAATAATATAGCGAGAGCGGGACATAGTGTAAATAAATCATCGCTCAACCCGCACAACGTTTCTCCTTATTCTTTCGGGCCCTATTCATTTCTCTTTATCTTTTGTGCATTTTTTTCTTCGTTTTTTTTTTCATCTTTTTTCTCTCGTCATTTATTTCTCTTTCTTTGCTCTAACGCAATTCACGCCATTCTCGAGTCGAGTTCTCCCCACATACGACGGCCCCTCTTAATTCAATGGACATTACGGGCGCAATAGCTGCTTGTAAATTCGCCACTTTTATCTACGTCCATCGCTCTGCCTCCCAAAAATCGGGGATATTTAAAAATAAAACAGAGCAAAATAAAAACAAAAACAAAATTAAAAAATACAAACAACAACGCGTCGAGTCAATCGAGCGAATTGCATGCAAAGGGACATCTGGAGACGTAAAACTTGCCTCGCCTGGCAAATGAACACGAACTGCTAAGGTCCCATGTGAGAGGCGCTTTAATTAATCGGGGTATTTCAGAGCGGAAGGTCCTGCGGGACTGCTATATGTATCCGGCTCGCTGCAAGCTGAGCCTGACGACGCGGGGCTCGCGGGCGGACCAGCGGATATCCCTGATTTCGAGCACCTCGTCGAACACGACGTCGGGCATCGTGAGCGACCGGGTGCACAGCGAGGACGAGCCGGACGCGGGCCCAGTCTCGAGCGGCTCCACGGGCTCGACCGAGGATTCGGGTAGCGCTGCTACGGCTGAGCCCGAACGTCCCATATCCTCGCCACCCCGCCCATCGTCTCATCCCAGCGAGACCGAGGCGGCCAGTGGCGGTGGAACCGGGGCCACGGCGGCCCTCGGCTCCCAGTGCAGCAGCACCTGCAGCACCGTCGTCGGGAACGCGGCGACCGGCTTGAGGACGACCTCGGCGACTTCGAGCCTCGAGCTCGGCTACTCCCACACGGCCCAGAACTCGGCCTTGTCGGCCGAGCCCATCTACGACAGGTGCAACAAGACCGCCAAGTATGCCGGTACGTATATCAGTCTGCGAGCGAGTGAATAATGAAGTAAGTCTCGCGGAGAGGGTGGCGGGTCGGCCAGCCAGCGGGCAGGACGGGTGGGAGGGTAGAACGGCCAAGACGCCAATCTACGCCATAATATCTGACTTTTAATATATCGTGCGAATGCCCTGCGCGTAGATTCCGATCAATCTCATTCTTTTGTCTAACGCACGTCGAAGAACTTCAGGACTGCACGGTCCGGATGTAGCACAATAATGCTGTTAATAAGAACGTGAATACACGCACACACCCATATATATATATATATATATATATATTCCTCTTCTTTTCATTTCTCTTCTTTTCTTTTCTTTTCTTTTCAATTAAACGCAACGAAGCGACGAGCGTTTATAGAAACGACTGGGATTTCATACTACAAGTTCCAGGGGTTTACACGTCGGATTTGCGCGCGTTATTATTCAAATTCATACGTTCTCATGGTATTTCCTGAAAATTCGCATTCCCTTGATTCGCATCTCGTGCATAAAATTATCAGGCACTTAATGCGTTAATTGTCAGTTTTTAGAATAATGCAATAATAATTTACTTCGCAGAGAACGTGTAGTAAATTGTAATATACTGGAGTGAAATACGTATGCGATTATAAAATTAAATGGGGTACGCCAAGCATTAGCCAGTTATATTTTGCTAACGTAAAAGTTGGAGCGTTAGTTGGGAAAATTTATGCACACTTTCCAATATAGCTTAGAGGCTCTTTTCCCAACGCTAAATAATCGAATAAAGCCGCCGTCGTGAGCGTGCGCCGCCATTGCAAATTTCGACTGGCGCAACAGAAGTGATCGACGGGGTCGATCTGGAAAATGATCGAGCCACCTAATAATAATCAAATGCCTCCCTTCACCAGCGACGGACATTGGCAGCGAGACGAGCGGTGTCTACACGCTGCACAGCAGCGAGATGCTGGACGAGCCGCTGGCCAACGACTCATCGGTCCAGTCGACCACGGACGAGGCCTCCGTCACCTCGGGCTTCTACACGATCCACAGCGGACTGCGCTCCGAGACGAGCGGCTCCTGCTACAGCCAGGGCACCGGACACGAGGACCAGGAGCCTATCTATAGCCTCTGCCAGAGCGAGGATCGGCCGAAGCACCTGCAACAGGTCGTAATAGCCGAGGGCCCGGACGGCGATGGGGCGAGGTCACGCAGTAACAGCATTCTTAGTACGAGCAGCTTCCGGGGTGACGGGAGCGATCCGTCGGGGCAGGGTCCCCTCCTGTCAGCGGACGAGCTATCCGATCTGATCGTCGGCCGGTATCCGCCACGCAAGAGCGTAGGCGCCTCCATGGACTCGGACTGCGACTACGTACGGATGCCACCGCCACCTCCCCCAAGGAGCGACAGCGAGCGGCAGTTACCTCCACCTCCGCCCTATCCTGGTCTCCTACACCTGCCACCGCCACTGCCGCCGACGCTACCTCCGTCGTCCTCGTCGTCGTCGTCTTCGCCTTTGGCGGCGCACGCAGGAGGGGTACCACCTCCTGGATATGTCTGCGGTCGCGAGCGCTTCGAGATACCGCCTCCGACACCTCCTCGCAACGACGCCATCACGCCCAGGTTAGCCTCTGACGATTTCCACTACTCGGCTCTTTCGAGCCTAAATAATTGTCGTTGCTTGAATAAATTATTTTAATCATGGGTGGTTGTTTTGGGCCTTGGCGTATCTCCACCAACGGACAATCAGCCAAATACGCTCGGGACAAATATTCCGAGTCAAAGTGAAACGACGAGCAGCGGATATAAAATTTTTTATTCGATATCAAATTTACGCGCTCGTCAGATATTACCAAATACTTTTCCCCCGATTGTCCATTTCATAAATGGCTGGTCTAGTAATTTCTCGCTTCTACAAGTATTGCAATTGAAATTTCATTTTCACAACTTCTTGCAATTTTATCCAAAATTTCCATTCGATTGCTTAGTCGTCGGCTGCAATTAAACCTTAAATTAATATCTACAACCCTCGGGGAATAGTTTAAGACGCCTATCGTTTTTACCGTTATTATAAATTAACAAATTATACTTTACAACAGTCGATGTCGAAAAATCATATCCAAATATCATATCGAGCCTTACCATTGAAATAACAATCTTTTGTCCTTGATCATTCCCCGTCCCACTCGCACCTTTGCCAATCAATCCTCGTAATTGATAATCGCGAATCCACGCGCCCCTTCCTCGCTACCCTTTACTTCATTTATCACCACCAAATGGACTTTACTCACTCACACGCACGCACGCACGCGCACACACATATATGTCAATTACGAACACCTCCGTACGAACATCTCCGAGTTACATCCTCTCTCCACCCTTCTCCACCCAACCTGCACCCGCACGTGTAGTTGGGATTGTGTACATTGATGGAATTAAATGCAGGGAACCACCACCACCGCCTCCGCCGCCAGCGAGGATACAACCCCCGACGTATCCCGGAGATAAAATGAAGCCGACGCCGGTACACGCACCGGTGGCCGCTTTGGTCGTCGGCCCCAACAACTACCTGGACGTGCACGCGACCCGCGCCGGTCCAGTCCTGCTGCCTTATATAACGCCACCCCAGCAAATCCAGCATCAAGTTCAGCAGAGGCAGCCGCCACCTCCACCACCGCCACCGCCGTTGTCTCCGGCCCCGATCACGCACCTTCAGTCGAGCTCGAACCCCAACAGTGCCGCCGCTATGCTCGCCACCGTGTACACGAGTCAGGTCGCCCGAAGCCAAATCGAGCAATATAAGCAGCAGCTCTACTCGGACGTGGACTACGTGATGTTCCCTCTAAAAGATCCGGCACTCTCAAAGCAAGAGTATATTGATGCCAAGCAGGGCTCTCTCCTTGCGGCCATGGCAGCCTACCCGCCGCCCCCGCCGTACCCGCTACAGGCCGCCAACAAGACCTCCCTCGTCTACAGAAGTACGCCCTACCTCGCCTACCCGGGCTCCTCGCTCTCATCCCTCTCCAGCAAATACGCTTCGAATCAGAATCTCGCGGGCAGCCTCAGTGACACCAACAGCTCCGTCGGGGGCAACAACTACCTCCTCTACGGGAATGCGAGCAGCCAGTATGCCGCGAGCACTAGCTCCCTTTATAGCGGTTTCACTTGCTCGAGTAGCGGTGGTGGCAGCCAGAGCCTGAGAAAGGACGCAACATACGCGTCTCCGCCACCGCCGCCGCTGCCACCGACCGCGAGCACTCGTCATCACATGCAGCACGTCTTTCAGCAGCAACGGCAGCAACAGCAACAGCAGCAGCAGCAGCAGCAGCAGCAGCAGCAGCAGCAACTCTTCTTCTCACGGACGAGGAGCCACGAGGACATACTCAAGAGCTACGACGGGGGTACGGGTTCACTCTCTCGGCCGGCGATCATCAGCGGACCTTGTATCGGTTCGCTGTCCCAACCCCAGATGAAGCACAGGAGACTGCCACCCCCACCACCGCCCCCGCCCTACGATATCCAGGTGATTTTTTTTTGCCTATTAATTATCATGGGCACTACGAGTATCATTAATAATTAAGTATCATTAACTACGAGTTCAATGGCGCGATAAAAATAATTAGCACTGAAACAACAATTATTATAACACATACTTAGTGCTTACAATCGAAAGATTTCTGTTGTTCGCGTAAAGCTCTGACCAATGAATTTTCTGCGTCTCTTCAAGACTTTTGCTCCGAATCAATCACCGTGCCTTGCTCACAATGACGTCAAAGCTCACCATCACCAGCAGCAGCAGCAGCAGCAGCAGCTTCAACAGCAGCAGCAGCAACTTCAGCAACAACAGCATCAGTTACAACAGCAGCAGCAGCAACAGCATCAGCTACAGCTACAGCAACAACAACAGCAGCAGCAACAACAGCATCAGCTACAGCAACAGCAGCAGCAGCAGCAGCAGCAACAACAACAACAACAGCAACAGCAACAGCAACAACAACAGCAGCAGCAGCAGCAGCAGCAGCAGCAAACGACGCAACATAATCAGCAGGACGGAATGTTAGATATTAAAACACTCCGAGAGAAAAGCCGCAACCTCGATTTACCTCTGATCTCCGCCCTCTGCAACGACCGCTATCTCCTCAAGCAGACCAAGGCGTTCGTGCTGCCGAAACATCCGACCGAGGCGATATCCTCGACTACGAGCAAGTCCGGGGGTGCGAGGAACGGGGGAGGCAGCAGCAGCAGCGGCAGCTCCAGCCGACACAAGTATCCAGTGAGCGGATTGTCGACGACGCAAATCTCGAAGCCACCGAGGAAGCCGGCCAACAGCACGCACAAGCACCCCAACACCTCGACGACGTTGGGACTGTCGAAGGGCCTTGTCAATGCCTATCAAGTAAATAGCTCCAGCGTGACGGCCAACGATAAAAAAAATCCCTCCAGAGCATCGCACTCCTAGCGGGGAGACTCGAGGAATCGACTTACTCGCTAAACAACCCTGGATGTAGCTTTATGGATTTTAAGGGACTTGAAATGAGTTGACTATTGCATTGAGCTTATATTATACGAAAGATTTTTATTTTGTAAGTTTAAGCGCTTGTTATTATGTCTTTTTAATGTGTTTTTATTATGTTGCCGAGAGTCTTCGCAATAGTTTACAAAGAATAAATTTTAATTCGATTGCACATGAAGCAAGCAAAGGAAAAAACAAACAAAGGAAAAAATAACGAGCTTAATCTCGCCTTGAAAGTGAAAGAATATGATATAAAGATGGATAATGCCTAGTATATTTTACATGTTGTATGGAGTAGTAAGGAAAACAAAACAAAACAAAAACAAAACAAAAACAAAAACAAAAACAAACAAACAAAAAAACAAAAAACAAAAACATAAAAAAAATTAATTTTGCTCCAGTGTTTATTAAATTTTTAATGCTAAAGAATGGATGTATCAAAGTGTTAATTTTTATTGCGGGACCTTAATGGAGATTATCAACGTTTAAGTGTTAAATGCATTTCAAAATCCGTATACAATTTTCACAGCCTCTTCCAAAATAATGTATCCGGCGGGGAGACTAATATTGCGTAAAGTAGATCGGCAAGCTTTTTCAAAATTCGAACTCCATATCACTCTACTGAGAAGTGGCAGAAGAAATGGCGAAAAGGTTAAAAGACCGAACAA